TATTACATTATTATTATTATTATTGTTATTATTATTATTATTATTATTGTTATTATTGTTATTATTATTATTGTTGTTGTTGTTATTATTATTATCATTATTATTATCATTATTATTACTATTATTACTATTACTATTATTATTATCATTATCATTATTATTATTATTGATTGTCACTTTTGTTTTGTCTTTTAAAGCACTTTGTAACTTTGTAATAAATAATAATATTTGTAATAATAATTAATATTAATATCACTATAATAACACACATACTTGTTATAGTATATAAATTGATAAATAAATGTAAAACCAGCTGTATGTTGTGTCTTCCTAACTAACACCGCCATCTTGCGTCTGAACGCGAACCTTACGTCTCTGACGTAAAGCGTGGAGGGGGCGGTTCCCCTGACGTCAGCACGTTGTACGTGGTTGGACTCTGCACTGTCTCCGCGGCGGTTAGCGACCAGTGAGCTTCATTTCCAACAAACACTGAAGTCCCTGAAGGTATCTGCACATATTTATTTATATATTAAAGCTTTCTCTGCTTTCACTCAACTTATAAAGTTCTTTAACTTCTCGCTGACACTCGGAAACTATCGATTGTGCACGAGCTAACTTTACCTGCTAATCCCTGCACGCCCCTCAGTATGGAACAAAACTCTATTCAAAATCCGACCATTTTAAAATTAATTTGCAGGTTAACTAAACATAAAGGCGGATGGACATATATTGATGTATTATTTGAATTGGTAAAGATGTTTTGATCAATTCGGCTAATGAATGATTCATATTGAACAACGCTGTTTGAATTAATATTGGTTTTTAACATTCTTCACTGTGCCCGCTGCCACTGACGTTAACGTTATCTGTGTGGTATTTTTAGTATTTCAGAGAGGAAGGTAGGTTCAGTTGAATGAATTCATACAGTTTATGGTGTCTTGCTTTTGGCCTCAGTTTCTGTATTAAACTGCAGTTTATCTCCTTTAGACAACAATGGCTAACATATGGAAGCCCATTACTGAAACTTAACCTTGATATTAATAAAAGAAAATGTTAATTTTAAGTCAGAATTTGTCGAAATACTATCACTAACTGCAATATGTAAATTACACAATTTAAATTTGTTTTTGTGAAAATGAAACCAGAAATTATCATTCCCACATTTTAGCTTATGAAATAAAATAATTTCGCATTTTTGTGTTTTAAAAATAGGTTTATAAGCTGTATTTTTACACCTGAGGATATATATAGTGATATATCACTATTGTTAACACAACAACAAACAAACAACAGTTCTAACTAACTCTTCAGTAATTAATTATATTTAATGCCAACCGATAATTTTTCTGTCCTTATAATTATCGATAGTGATAGTTCTTGCCTTATAATGAAGACAGCAGGACACATTAGAGACTAAGAGTCTAATACAGCAACAACGTTTGTTATCTGACAGTAAATCTCACAGTATTGATCGATTGGTTTGTTCTGATAAAAGTCGAACAGTGATTAAGTTGTTGAAATGCTGTTGAAGCTTTATTTTGAAAGTCTAACCCCAGAGTATTAGCATTAACCCAGCTGGGACAACAGTAATAAGACATCAGATCCACTTATTGATTATTAACCAGGTATTGATCCTTGGTTTCACAGATGGCTCTCACACAGGTGTCCTCCAACAAGTGCGCCGGTGGCTTCCAGAAGGTTTTCGAACATGAAAGGTGAGATGAGACTAAATGTCATTAGTCTGTGTTGACGATCAGTGTGTG